TCTCGGGCTGCATTTTCTTACTATATATATTGGTTTTGTAGTTAATATAAAATCAATATTTTAAGTAGTTTCTAAACATCCATGTTGACTATTAATGTCTTTGCCTTTATGTGCTTGTTTTCTTTTAAAAACATTTTAATTCTTCTGCAGGATTCGGAAACTTCAGATACGAAATATCCCGCCTCACTTACAGTGGGAGGTAAGAATTTCTATATTTAAAATTAAGATTTCAGTACTAAGCCTGTTGTTGTTAGTTGTTCCAAAGGTTTTTCTCCTTTCCTCCAGCTCTTGTGCTAGAACTCAACATTCTCTCATGGTCTCTGTCTTGCTGTGGGCTTTTCTTCGTGAGGGCACACTATTATCTTTTAAAAATTGCTCTTCGAGTTACTTTAAAAAAAAAAAATTAACATAGGTTTTTGGGTAAACTGGGTAATCTTCCTCATTCAGTCCCACCCCAACAAGATCTTGTTTATTTAAAATCTTTCTGACGAGTTTGCCAGTTGTATCTAAATATGAAGTTCTCTCCTTGGCGAAATTTTAAAGAGACAGATACCTGCTACTTATACTTTATTTTAAAATGTTACTCTGCTTTTTTTTTGCTCAGATGGTGGCTCTATAGTGACTGTACAAATACAAAGTATTTAGTACACTCGATTAGCCTGGGTCAGCAATATCCAAAGCATGATAATGATGTCATAATCGAGAATTTGAGGACCCCAGTGGTTGAAGAGAGAAACTGTCTGTTGGCTCTTCCAGATGAAGGAACCTGAAAGTTCTTAAAACCTACCTGAGACAGTGGTGCAGGGAAAATTTCTCAGCTCTTACGTATTTTTAGTATAAAAAAAATCACGAGTAACTAGCTTTGGGTGTAAAATGACATTTGATGAGTCACTAAACCAGAACCTTCATCCAAATGCAAAATATGGTTAAAAGGTTTCTTTGGTGGTGAGTTGAGGGAAGTTGGTTTGAACTCTGTTTCTCTGAGGTCCCAGTGGGTAACAAATCGTTTATGCTCAGAATATTTTACACAGCATTTATTTTCCGAACAATATTATTGAGTTCAATCTTTGTAGGAGGAGTTGATTCTTTGGTAAATGCTGACTGTTTTTCAAGTTATGTAATGTATAAAAAGTATATATTTTTTTTACATGGAAACTGACTTTTATAATATTAAACTCAATGCATTTTCCTGTTTTAGATTAAGATTCGTTTGGGAGATTCACTGGCTTGGAGGATGGGTCCACAAGTCAAGTATTATGGTATTAAATTTACTGATTTGATCCTCTTGGGCCATGTGAGATATGATTTCTGTTTGGGAACTATATCTAGTGTAATGTAGCTTTCAACGAAATAATCAAATGGTAGTAGTCAATTTTAAGTGAATTAATAGACTAGTAGCATATCAGCTGTAGGCAAGTGGCAGTTTCCTTTTAATTCATTCATACTATTTCTTCAAATCTAGATTGCAGTGGCTTTAAGCAGTTTAGTGTATTTTTAGCGGTTTTTCAAGTTTTTAGTTTATGTATTCTTCTTCATTCTTGGTAAAATTTAACCTCATTTATGAGAATAAATCTTTTTTTTTGCCATACCTAACTTTTATTTCATTTTACCCTCCCCATAGACCTTGGAGGTAAGATGAAGTTGGTGACATTATCTCCATTTTCAAATAGGCAAATATGGTCATACAGGATTCAAATAATTAAGTAAAAACACATACTAAATTACAAGAAGTTTGGAACTAGACTTTGAAACTCTTGACTTCTGACTACTTAAAAATTTTTTACATGATTGTTTGGAATATTGATCAACAACAAAATTTATTGAGGGCTTGTCAGGAGTAGGATGAGCTGTTGTGATGTTTCCTTTCCTTGAAGACTTGAATGAATGCCATCTGTTACTTCCTTTTTGAGATGAATCACTTTGCATAACATTTTATTTGTATTCAGTGTGCTGGCTGTCTAGTGCCAAAGCCTTATCTTAGACGGTGATAATTTTGTACTTACAGATCTGGACTCCCTTTATAGTGGAGGGATTAGACTTTGGATCTACTAATTAATCTTAGAAACACTGAAAGTGGAGTGACTAGACGTTCCGTGTCTTCTGGTTTGATGTAATAGGAAAAAGACACAGGTGAAATATTGTTGTCTGAGAAATAGAGGTTTGACTGGATTCACTTTCAATCTAATTTTGAGTTTACAAGAAATATAGAAGCTAGCGGCACAACTTAAATGATGCCACCAGGGAACAGCTAGCAAAGTCCGGAATATGGGACATTCCACAGGACAAACGATGCTGTGGAGAGGTTTCCGCGTTGTAAGATCCGTTTCTGCCTCGTGCGTAGTCTGCTATGATTCAGGAAAGGAAGCAGAAGCCATCTCCTGAGCTAAACAAAGGGCAATAAAGGGTGGAGGGTCTTCGCAACTGAAGCATCCTCAGATTGCATCCAGGCTTCTGACATTCAGGTTCTTGACATGGAAAGCAAGTAACCAGTAAATTAAAAATGAAAGACTAAAGCTACAGGTTGGAAATTGCAGCATCATTCCACCTCTCCCCCCGCCCCCCACGAAAGAGTTACTACCTTAATGATTTAGGGGTCTTTTTGGTGCTTCTGTATGAACTTGAAGCAATTTTTGGAAGTAAGTGAATCTTACAGGAAATCTTAAAAGACTCTTCTTTCGTAGGGCCAAAGAATTGCCTTAACAGAACACTTTATTTTGCGCTCGGCTTCTTAGTTTTGAACCCAGCTCCTAGTAACTAGTTTGGAGAAAGTTGAGTTCTAGGGTATAGGGAATATTAGAAAACCCTTGGCTTTCTGTATTCCTTTGTAGTCTGGTGATGTCGCATTAATGGTAAGAAGTAGTAGGGAGAAGCAGCAGAACTTCCCTGTCAGTTATAGTCAGGTCAGTCACGTCCACACTGGTAGAGGCCAAAGCTTTAGAAAGATGCCCACATTTCAGACCGTAATGAAAGATATACTCTAATAAGTGGAAACCTCAGAAAATGGATATTTTCTTGTGAGCTGAGGCAAGAACTTATAATGGAGAAATGATATGATCCACATTATGCTTAAAAGAATGCTTAATGGGGGTGAGTCGTAGAGGTCAGAAATTTTCTTAAAGTTGGTAAAATCTCAATGAAATCTTGTTATTTTCTTTCCAAATCTACTGTGACTATTGTAAGAAAGATCGATGACAGGAGACCTGGCTGCTCTATGAGGAAGTAGAAACAGCAGTATTATTAAGCTAGGCTCTGGCAGAAGGGAAACCAAAGGAGTTTTTATTTAGAAAGAAAGAAGGAAGGAAGCAAGAAAGTAGTGATGCCATGTGATCTAGTCTAGGCGGAAAACAAAACAATAGCACAGTTAATGTAAAACGGCTCAGAGAGAACCCTCATAGTAACCCTTGGGCGGATGTGTGCTGAGAATTGGAAGACTGTCTTGGAGGATGGAAGGTGAAATGACTTCCAAGGGAAGAGATTTAGACAAGGGCAGTGGAGTGAAGGGCCGTTAGGTGAAGTCCCTGGTAGATGCTGACGTCTTTAAGGGAAGGAGCTGGCTTTCATTTTCTACGTGGTGGTTCCTGTTCGGCACTCTGGTCAGAGGTTATTTGGTCCATGATGAATTTGAGAATTAATGCTAGAAACTGACTGAGACCAAAGCATTTAAGTGTAATTGACAATGTAATGCTCACAGTATGAGGTACTTTGTCTCAGAAAGACGTTCATAGTAACAGTGGTGCTGACAGAGACCATGAACTGAGCAAGAGGTCACCAGAGGCATTGATGTTGACTATTAGGAGTAACCCCTTTAAAGGTTGCCTTCTGCAGCAGACATCTTAGAGTTGTAAATAACTGTAGGGTGCTTTTCAAACGTTTTAAAGGAGATGGTACAGCAGAAGCCTGGTGTGTGAATATGGATAAAGGCAGAGCTAAACAAAGATGGCACCTTGCCTGCTGGCTCCCTCTTTGGCCCCCGGGGAACCCCCTGGGGAGGTTTTGTGGACCTCTTTGAAAATCACTGTGACGTCAGTGAATTGGAGTATGAACAGTTGCTAGAGGTAGTTGGTCTCCACCAACTAATTTTGAAGGAACGCGATAGGCAGTTTGAGGTGATCTTCCTTCATGATGGCCTGATTCTGAGCACTGGCCCCTAAATAGCCAACACCTAGGGAGCACATACGTGCTGGGTGCTGGATTAACCCATTTTATCTTCATAACAGTCCCATGTCCCCACCTGACAGATGAGGCAGCTGAGGTACAGAGAAGTGAAGTAACTTGCCCAGGGTCACACCTGGGAAGGGTAGAGTTTCTGCCCTTAATCAGATTACTCAAACAGAAAACCTCCCCCAGAAGGCACGTTTCTACTTCTTGTAATATAATCATTTATCAGCTTTCAACTGAATGTTTGACAGTGAACCCAATAGAAACTGGATCCTCCCCAGGTCTGGAGGAAATATGCGGTTATGAGTGATGAATGGGCTTGGACAGATTATTTGGGGGAAGTTCTTGGTAAACTCTTCCGTTTAGAGAACTGTGGTCAATAGAGTTCTTTGTGCATCGTTGCCCTGGCACGGGTCAGACTTTGCTGCATTAGAAATGACCTGGCAAAGATGTGCAGGGGAATCCCGGAGTTTCCCGATCACCTGGATGTGAGCGGAAGATGAGGCATTTATTTCTGCTCCCAAGCTGCCACCTCCACGTGTCTATCATGCACTTGCATTATGATGCCTGAACTTTTTAAAAAAAATTTATTCAAATTAGTTTCAAGTATACAGTACATTGCTTAGACATCTGTATAGTTCATAAAATGATCCCCCCAATGGCTCCCTCCCTCCCCTGGCCCTCCACCTCGCCATCATATTAATGCTAACTGCATTCCCTGTATTGTGCTCCACATCCCTGTGACCAACTATCAACTACTAATTTGTATTTCTTTAATCCTTCACCCTATTCTCCCAGCCCCCCGACCTCCCCTCTGTCCATCACCAAATTGTCCACTATATTAAAAATAGGAATGCTTCACGAATTTGTGGGTCATCCTTGCACAGGAACCATGCTATCTTCTCTGTATTGTTCCGATTTTAGTATATGTGCTGCTGAGGTGAGCATGGTGCCTTACCTTTTGCCTGGTGCTTCCGTGGTTCTTCTGAGATGGTCACCTGAAAGGCCTCCGTGCGCTTTTATTATGAAAATGTCAAACATACACAAAACTAGAGAAACCGATATAATGACAGTATCAACCACTCTTAATATATGGTCAAGCAGTCTTTTGTGTATAACTCTACCCTCTTCACCCTTTTCCAGGTTATTTTGAAGCAAATCCTTCAAAATAGGCATTTATTTCTGCTCTCTAAATGAAGACATCACTTCATTTAGTAAATACTTCAATATTTGTTTCTAGGAGATAATGTCTATGTATTAGTTTGCTAAGGCCTCTTTAAGAAAATAGCACAAAGCGGGTAGCTTAAACAACAAACTTAATCTCACAGTTCTGGAAGCTTGAATTCTGATAACAAGGTGTTGACACATTTAGTTCCTTCTGAGGGTCTGTGAGGGCGGGATATGTTCAAGGCCTCTCTCTTCTGATAGTTCCTTGGCATGTGGCAATGTAACTCCAATCTTCAGGTGGCATTCTGTATGTGTGTCTGTCTGAATGTCTCCTTTTCATAAGGACAACAGTTATTATATTGGATTAGGTAGGGCCCACCTGAATGACTTCGCTTTAACTCGATTATCTCTGTAGAGACCCTCTCTCCAAGTATGGTCACAGTCTAAGGTACTGGGAGTTAAAACTTCATCACATGACTTTTTTTGGGAACACAGTTCAACCCATAATGGTCTGTTTTAAACATTCACATGTTAAATTAATAGTAATTCTCAAATATCAAATCTAATCTTTCATATTTCATTGATTATCTCAATTTAAAAAAATGATTGTTTGAGTCAGGATCCAAACAAGATCTTTTTTAAAGACATTTAACAATAGGTTCTCCCAACCCCTGCTTTTTTTGCATCATATTTGTTGAAGTTGGTTTGTTCTTAGTTTGCTGAACTACATTCATGTGTGATCCCTCAACATGTTCCTCAGACCCTTGTGGGACTTGGATTATACCCAAGTTCGCTTTCCATTTGGAAAGACAAAGTAATAGGTGGTTATCTGTTCTTCTATCAGGAGGTCCATAATATAATGTCTGTCTCTGTGATAGGAAATGCCATTGATCATTGCTTAGATTCATTACTGTGTGTTTGCAGGATGTTAATATTCTAATTCTACAATGTTTTCATTTGCTAGTTGGAATGTATTTATGAAGAGGAACTTGTCCTCATCAGTTATTTGATCACTCTGAGGAAAAGTTTGAGACAGGACAAATGCTTGATTCTTTCCATTTATTTCCTACTTTATAAATATGGGTGCCTTAGCATCCTACAAGGATGACCAGTGATTTTTTTTTTTTAACCAGTGAGTTTTTGTGTGTATGATTATGAGGTCATTAGTTAAAGATATTTGGGTTTCAAAATTACTGGAATCATTCATACCGATACTTAAATTATTCTAACCCGAGAGCCATGTGGAGCTTCTTCAAGACAGTGCCAGGGTTCTTTTGATGCCACCTCAGTGGTTGATAACTTCCTTGATTTTTGGTTCAAGAAGTACCAGGTTTATCTTGTACGTTTTCTGATCCAAGGCTGGAATTAGCCCTTTCTCCAAGGAGCCCAGTATTTGGAGACCCCAGTGTGATCGTGCTCCACTTGGGACCAGATCCATTGGCGCTTCCTTGGTTGTTCATTTTCCTGGTAACATCTATGCCCTCTGTTCCACTCCCTGCGGGTTTTCGTTACGGCTGCTCTTCTGCGTTATTCCTGATGTGAACATTTCTGTTACTTTGTTTTTTCTCTCTTGGAAATTCCACTTGTTTCTACTCTTTTAAAAATTTTTATTTTATTTTATTTTTTGCTTCCTGCTTGAAAGCAAACATTCGTTTGAATATCCATTGAACTTGAAGTGTCTAAAACCGAATTTCTTTCCCTCTCAAATCATTGCTTTATTTTCTCTGTGAATTTTAATATTGCTTAGGTCACACGGGCTTGGCCATGAGGTCATTCTTGATTTTCCTTCTCCCATTTGCCCTCTGGCCACAGGAAACTAGGTGTCCTTAGCCGTCCCCCACCACCTCACTTCCTTTGATGTTCATTCTTGTACCCATGGCCATCACCTTGCAGAGCATTCAGTCATAAGTCAATCGTTTTAAGCATCTTTACCATGTGTAAGTGGAGAAAATAACATGTAGGCATAACTATCCTATGAGGGGTGACCACAGAGGGCTCCTGCTTTGTGTTCTCAAGCTTTAAAACCATCTTTAGAAGTGTCTGGGCACTTATTTTAAGATTCTGTGTTAGTGCCAAGATGTTAACTTGCTTTTTTAATTTCATAATCTGCAAATGAGCCTTGTAACTCTTCAAATGAAAACAACTGATTTTTTCTGTTTGAATTACGTTAAACTACCAACAACCACAAACAGATTGTTTATGGTTGTAAAAAAGAGAGTCTTTGGTTTCAGTAGTATTTACTTGCAGTCATTGGCACACCCAAGAAGGAATAATTGGTAAATAAATCTCTCATTTGTGTTGCAGGCAAAGCTTTTTACATGATACCTATACTGCTTCAAAGTTCAGACTGCCAATTAGGAATAAGTATGATCCCATGAAAAAAAATTGAGAGGAAAAAAGTTAACTACTTGAGGGTGGGAAATAAGGTAATATTTATCCAAACTTTAATGTTCCATGGCCAAACAACTAGTACCTTTTAAAAAGCCTCTTTAAAAACCACATCTTTTTTCTGCATGGGGTCAGTAGATCTTTATGTTCTAAACTCACAGGAGCCTTCAAAACCATTGCTGTTTTCTCTGCTCTCAGTGTGAAGCAAGAGGTTTGCTGAACATTGAGAGAGAGGATCTGTGTCATTTTTACTTACAGTATTTCTGACACCAAATACACGGTGTCTTTTCCAATACCACTTCTACTCGCCAGCACCAACTAGGTGTCGTACAAATTCATTTCTGACACTAACTGTTGGGTTTAGTGTCAGACTCCACAGCTTAAGCTTAGTTCCATTTCACAAAACTGCCTTTCAGGTGCCAGGTCCATCACATTGCTACCTGGCCGACGACCATCGTTCACTAGACAGCCTCACAGAACTCAGAAAAGAGCTTTGCTTTCCTTCTTTTAACCACCGTACGACAAAAGGATATAACTCGGGAACAGCCAAATGGAAGAGACGTGTAGGAGACGGGCACAGAGCCTCCCTCCATGCCTTCTCCAGGCACGCTCTGTGATTCAGCACTAGCCATGTGTATGGAATGCTAAAGAGATCATTTCAAATTTAAGTGTCTAAAAAATCTACACTTGTTGCTCTTTTCCTCTTGGCTTCCTACTTCTGATGTTAATGAACAAAATAGTCGGGGTTAACATGGAGAAAGGGGGAGACGTCCCTAGGCAGAGGTTTGGAATAGTAAACCAATTGGGAATGGCAGGGCACCCTTAATCCTATTTCTAATTTTAGCATCAACCAGAAAGCAGGGCTGCCTCAGTATTCAGAGCATTTTCCCTCTTTGTGTTTTTGCATCGCTGAATGGCCTACTTTGTCTTATCCAAAACATAATGTTACTGTTTAGCGTTTCTTCCCATGTGGGGATGAGAAAGGCTATAATTTTCTGTGGTCTTTCCTAGATGTGTAGTATACATGCATGGACATCTTTTCAGGATTCCTTGGTTATCAATTGGTTCTTGTGTGGTAGACAAAAGGAAGTGTTCAGTAAGCATTGGCTGTACTGAGAATGTCATGTGGTGCTTTTCAGAGCATGACCATAAGCCAGATAGAGATCTCTGTGTTCATCTTGCTAGATTCATTCTTGGTCTAATGTTTTGTGTCACCACTCCTCCATGGACAAGCATATATAAAAAAGATTGAAATTGTTTAATTAGCTTAGGTCGATGGTAATGAATCGTTATTTCAGATGTTTTCTAATAAAAAGCAGGGCCTATATTTGACTTGTTGGTTTTTTCTTGTTTTCGTGCTTACTATCACATTCCTAGTTCTCATTTCCCTCTTTTCTTTACTATTCTGCCTTTAAGTTTTGGTCAACTTAATAGCATATGCGCGGGGAGCCCTAAGCATGAGCAGGGCAGTATGCAAAACTCTTTAGATGGATGTCATTTGATTCTTCCAGCCGACCCTAGACAGAGGAAGGAAATAGTGTTCTCCCCACTTTGGGGAGGGAGGTGGAAGGTAACTGAGGGATGGAGCAATGTACCGAGGTCTTGCAGCTAGCATTGGCCCTGTGGCATTTAAAACAGGTAACCTGACCTAAAAGCCCCTTAGCCACTGCTGTATGTAGTTCTGTTACCTCATGTGTAAAAATAAGAATAACCTCTCACATCCCCCACAAGTCTGTTTATGATTTTGAACACCAATTTCATCCATGTTCTTATTAAGATATAATTTCTTCCTATGTTTTACCTGTAATGAGCTCTTAGATATTTAAAATAACTTGCATTTTTAACCCTCAGACCTGCACCCTCTTTTAAACAAATATTTCCTAATGTTTCAATTATAATCCTGAAATGAAATTCACAGAAAATGTAACCCACTTATCCATATACTTTAAAATTCAGTATAATGTTCTAGTAATACCAGAAAGGAGAAACCAGTTTATACAAAATAATATTTCAACACATAAATACTTGGGCATGACCAGAACTTAAGACATAGTGAAATAATCAAGTGCCTGTACCATATGTAGAATGACCTTCAGTGAACCAATATAGATGCTAATATTACAGATATTCCATATGGGTATTCAGAGTCCTGTTGTTTTATAGTAGTGATAAGTAGACCAAAATACAGCAGTATCTTGATTTACATGGTCATGGCAGTTTTGGAAGATAGAGTATATATTCCAAACTAAACAATTAAATTAAAACTAAACTATAAATACTATGTTAGGTTATAGGCTCAGATAAATGAGCTTTATGTATAGGTGAATGTCAAAGGCTTTCGAGAACTGTGCAGGACATGGGGCGTCTCTCTCATTGTGTAAGACCGCCCTGAA